AAGAGTGCTTCTCTGATTCCAAGGTTGTTTCTGAAACCAAATTGTATTTCACTTAGTCGTACTTCTATTTTGTTGTAAATTCTCGTGTGCAGTACTCTTAGGAAAACTTTCAGTACATGACTTATCAGACTGATAGTGTGATGATCGCTACACTGTTTGGCATATTTTTTTCAGTATTATTACAAATGTTGACACTAGCCAGTCTGTTGGTATATTTCTGTTTCGTATATTTTATTAAAGAGGCTTAGAAGAGAATGTTTGCCCTTATCGTCGAGCAGTTTGATTATTTCGCTTGGAATTTCATCTGGACCGGTTGCTTTCCTATTCTTTGGTAGCTTTATAGCTCTTTTGTTATGTTTGAACCAGTCGATATATTTTTAATTTGAATTTCTGTTCTATCGTCATCAAACAGCTCCTTAATATATTCTATCCACCTCTCTAATCTGTCTTGTTCATTGACTATACTATTTCCTTGTTTATCAAGTAAACTACTTACAGTTGATCTATATGTTCCAGTTATTCTTTCTCCTTTTTGTTCATATTTAACGTGTCATTCTTTTTCTGTAGTTCTTCTATTTCAAGACATTTGTTGCTGTACCATTTTTCCTTTGCATCCCGGATTTTCCTTCTGATTTCTTTATGAATTTTATTGTATTCTTCAGTGTTTTTATTTTTCTGTTTTCGCCTGCTTTCCATTAGTCCCAATATTTCATCAGTCATCCATTGTTGTTTGCGATTATTAATAGTTTTATACTTTTTAGTTGTTTCTTGGATAATGCTTTTGAAATGATTCCAGTGGTCTTCGACGTTATGTGTTTCTTTCTATTTTTCGAACTTCTTTTTTATCTCTTGTGTAATTTCATGACCATTATTTTGAATACAGTCAGTGTTTATTCGGTTAGTCGGATGTTGGCATTTTACTATTTTAAGTTTTAGTTTTATGTCACTGGTTAATAAGTTATAATCTGAGGGGACATCAGGGTTTATTATAATTTCTCGTTAATTGTTATATAATCGATCAGATTTCTTATGATCTTTTCTTTAGTATCTGCTGGTGACTTCCAAGTATATAAACGACGCTGGGTAGTTTGTAAGAATGTATTTGTCACACAAAGATTGTTCTATACGCAGAATTCTACAAAACGGTCTTCTTTGTCATTACGTTGTCCAAGTCCAAAATGCCCTACAATGTTTCCTTGTCTACCTTTTCCTTCTTTGGCATTGAAGTCCCCCGTTATTATAGTAATGTCTTTGTTTTTCAGCTAACTTATTACCTTCTTTATACCATCATAAACATTATCTATGTCATCTTCAATACTGCTGGCTGTGGGCGCATAAACTTGGACCAGATTTATATCTACTGGTTTTGAGTTTAGGTGCATCACGATGACTCTGTCCGAAATGCAACTTACAGATTTAATACAGGAAGAGATTTCTTTATGTACAATGAATGCGACGCCATTCTCGTGGTTAGTGCCTTCTTCTCCGGAATAGAATACATCGTGGTCATCTATGTTACATTTACCAGTCCTTGGCCACCGTATTTCGCTTATCCCAAGAACTGGTATATTGAGCCTTATCATCTCCAGTATGGTGTTTTGTATCTTACCAGGATCGTAGAGACTTCTCACATTCCATGTGCCTATTCTGATACCTGATTTTATTCTGATTTCTTTTCTATCAGAAGGATTTCGCTGGATAACGGCCTGGGAAGCCCTGTGTGCTTGTCTTCTCCTGCCAGATCTTGGTGTCCGATGACCATGATCAGTATACCTTTTCTTATCATATGATAGTGCCATTATGATTGAACTAGGGAATAATAATGGGGTGGTTTCCGTTACCTTTCACATCGCAGTATCACAACGATTTAAACTGCTCCAGTCATGCTGTGATAGCCCAGTTTCAAGCCGATCCATGATTATTTAATCTACGCCTTGAGCTGGTACCGATTCGCGCTGCCTTATCAATATAGTGATTCTATATAATCCTCTAAAATCAAGAAATTGCCACTTCCACCATCCACACCGTACCGAGGAATTCTTCTCCGCCGTGGCTGCCGTTGTGGACTTCATCCGTGACCTGGACAAGGGACCCTAAGCAGATACTAGTTTCCTGAGTCAGAAAATACCTGAAATCTGCGGAGGGCAAGGATTGATTTATTTTCTCTGATAGGACTATCCAGAGGAGTTCTTACCCGCTACCCGCATTCCATACATTCCTTAAGGTTCAGTATTAAGTTCTACCTTTTTTAAACTCGCTATAAGTAAGCTTTGTTTTAATTTACATTCCCCTTTCAAATATGTAGCTTATGCAGGTGATTAATATTGCACTGTTACGGTCTTTCGGTATTCACTAGTTCTAAAATTTGGCAGGCGGCAATAAACATAATAATCAACCGGACTCACTATCTGGGACTAACTTTATCCCTAGCAAAATTCAAAATTAATTAATTTATCAGACGGCCTTCAGTGCCTCCTACACCTATATTTAGAAATGGTTTATCAACGTAGATAATCGTTGTAAAATACAGGGTTTGACATTTGACTCTAGCCTCTCTTGGAAGCAGCATGTTTTTAAGTTAAAAAGTTCCTGCCATAAAAGATTAAATATTCTTAAAACACTGTCCCATTATCACTGGGGTGCTCATGAAAAGTTGCACCTTAAAGTGTATAAAGCACCTCATCATCATTCTGGCTTAACCACTCTGCGTGAGTCCTAGCCTCCTCAAGAATTTCTCTATAGTCATCTCTATCCATCGCCTTTATCCGCCAAGCAGTTATTCCCATATTTTTCAAGTCTTCATCGATATTATCACGGATTCTTGTTCTGGGTCGTCCTCTTCTTCTCTGATCAATGAATCTATCAAGGAGCCTTTTTCTAGCTGGGTCATTTTGTTACACCCGCATTACATTTCCTATCCACCTCAGACGTTCTATCTTAACGTTATAAAGATGTTTTATGCTTTACAATATCAGATTTCTGGTATACTCTAAAATGTTCGATGTTTTATCGTCCTTTCCACACTATATTGTCATTCACTGCTCCATAGGACTGGACGTATTATTGTTTTGTAGAGTTTTTTTTTTGTATTTCTCGATATAATTGTGGATTTAAGGAGGAGATTGAGCCCAAAATAGCATCAGTTGGCCGTGCAATTTCTGCGGCTTATCTCTGTGGTAGTATTATTTTCAGTGTTAAGGAGCGCTTCCAGGTATACAAATTCGTTCACTGCTTCGATGACGTCGTTTTCTATAACTAATGGTCACAGGATTTGTGGTTGCATTCTTAATTTTATATACTTCGTTTTGTTGGTGTTTATTATTAAACCCATTTTTGTAGCTGATCTACATTCGTGTATTCATCTTCCGCTGTACATCTTCATTGGTGACTTTGTCTGTCCATAGTATCTTCAGGATCCTCTGTATAATCATAGCTCAAATGCCTGATGTTTTGTTAGAGTTTTCGCCTTCAATGTCCACGTTTCTACTTCGTACAGAAACACTGAGTGTACGTAACACTTAAGGAGCCTTATTTTTGTTTCTAGGGTGAGGTCATGGCTCTTAAACACAGAGCTCATAGTCGAGAATCCACTTTTTCCCTTTCCGATGCGACATTTAATCTCCTTAATATTATCCCATGACTCATTGATTATAGTTCCCAAGTAGTTATATTGTGAAACACGTTCAATTCTCATTTGGTTCACATATAGATTTCCTCCAGTTATGTTTTCCTTGCTGATGATAATTAGCTTGGTTTTGCTAGTGTTTATATCCAGTCGATATATTTTATTTGTTTCCGTTATTTTGTTTATTTTTGCATTTTGTTAAGTTTTGCAGCCCTTCTATGGTATTGGAAAATACGAAATACTGTATTATCTAAATATCGTAGGTTATTGAGCTCGACTTCATTTATTCATTTATGCATTCATCAATATCTTTTAAAACCTCTTCAAAAATGTGCCCTGAATACAGATTGAATATCAGTGGTGAAATTATGCACCTCTGTCTCATTCCCCTTAAGATTTTGACCTGATCTGTATATTCTCCATCCATTCGGAGCACCGCGAATTGATTCGAATACAGGTAAGCTATTATTTTTAAGTCTTTTCCGTTAATCCCTGTCCTCTCAACACTTCCATCATTTGTTCATGCCTAACTCTATCGAAAGCCTTCTTGTAGTCAATCAGGCATGCAAAAGCATTACAGCCGACATCTCTACATTTCTTAAACAATATCTACACGCTAAATAAAGCTTTCCTCGTATCAACGGCGTTCACAAATCTAAACTGATTGGGCGCAATTTGTTCCTCGCATTTCAGGTAAATTATTTTGTGGATGATTTTTAAAAACAGAAATTCCACGAAGAAACTAAGTTACTGTAGCTGGCTGTATACCATATATCACAAAAAATTTTGTTTAAAATCCTTTATAAAAGGTATATAAAAATGCCCAAACGGGCTATCACAAACACATTGCAAAACGTTTTTAATCCGAAAACGTTTTGCAATGTGTTTGTGATAGCCGTTTGGGGCATTTTTATATACCTTTTATAAAGGATTTTAAACAAATTTTTTAAAAAAACAGCTTCAGCAGATCGCTCATTAGGCTTATTGTCCTTAATCTTCACAAACTTTTGCTCCTCGTCCTTTTCATCCTTAATTTGTCTGACGGCTGCCGATATTTTTTCTGGAAGGATTTCGGGACCTGAATTTTCTTCAATGGTGGGCTCTTGTATTGTGCTAAGGTCATGGAAAAGTTTCTCCAAGTATTCTTTCCATATTTTCTTTTTTTTCGTTATTTTATTAACATATATTTATTAATAAATATTTTATGATGTGAAATTTCTAATATATTAATAATGATGCAATTCATTTATGACCATAATTTATGACGTTATATATTCTTATGTTTAATGTAGGTGGGTATGTAATACAGTTATTACGCCAATTTTAGTACACTATATTTGGCTAAAAATTAATTTTAGATCGAAAGCAAACAAGCAGTTTATTTTATATGATTCTAGACTTGATTTGAACTTCTAACAAAATTAACAGATTTCTTAGCATAAACGAAATTTTATAATGAAATGGAACCAATTACTATCCATTTTTACTTTAAGCCATGCACTATTTCAAATTATTTCAGCTGAGAAATGTAAGTACCTATAACCCTTTATTTTAGTTTTTAGGATTTTTCCATATATTCTGCTTATTTTATTAGGCACTAAAATTTAAATAAAAGCAATAACCAACTTTATATTTTTCAGAGACTTTCTTGTTTATGCATATTTGGAATAATATTGTCAAGTAGGGGTCACTTCCATATTTCATTACTTCTCCATATATATATATATATATATTATATATATATATATATATATATATATATATATATATTCATTAACGAAATGGGACTACAGGCTAAGTTGAGCCTTGTCCTCTTTCAGTAAGCTCCTACAAAGATTTCGATATACAGCTGTTCTGTTCCATAAACGTGTTTTTTAGGAGGTTTTTGACATTCTCATCTCTTTTTTAATCTTCCAACAGGTCTTTTTTCTTACATTTTTGCATTTAGAATTGTCTGGAAATTCTGTTCACTGGATGCATCCGTACCACGTATTTTGCTCAATGTAATTACTGATTGGGCCCAGTATCTTTCGTAATATTTTTTTTTTCGAACAAGTCTAATGCATTGGCAGGTTTCTGGGTTCTGGGTTATCTTTCACACCCATAACTTACTATGGGCCTAACTAGTATTTTATAGACTATAAATTTTGTTTTCCTTTGTATATCTTGCGGGTTTGAATATATGGCCCTTGGCGAAATAAGCTTTATTGGCCAGCAAAGCTTATATTTATTTTATATTTTTCTTCACTATTTGCAATCAGGTCCACTTCAACTACCTAAATCTTTTCACCATGCGCTCCATATGTATGGAATAAATTCATTTTAGCGTTATGTACTATGTGCAAATCCTGAAATAGGTTAATTTTTGTTCTTAAATTGACTATTTACAGTATGAAAATATTATACCCCTCCAGCACTCTATTTGAATTATTAGTATCTCCTCGACAATTTAAAAAAACAATAGGGGTCATATGGTACCTTGTTAGAAAGGGATTTACTCCTCTCTTCAGCAATGTAATTTTTTTTTTAGTTTATACTATTTTTATTGTCTTTATGTATATTTTTGATTTAGTAAATAGCGGTTGCTATGCCAAGGTGGAGCTCTACTTCTTCTAAATGTGCCTATCTTCTAAATACATTGGGGACTACATTGACCAATCTTATTCTATTCACCAGGGCCTCTCTTACCCTCAATCATGCCCTGTAGAATCAACTGTAGAGGTCGGTATTTATCATTACGATGATGTAGCGAAGTAAGCCAATTTTCTTTTTTTATGGTGTTAATAATTGCTTTTTCTTTTCTTAGCATCTGGAGAATAGTTATGTTACTTGTATGGTGTATATATGAGACCTCAACATACGTCGGTAGCACCATATTTCAAATGCCTCTAATCGTGTTATGGCATACACAGATCTATACAGCTTTATATATTAGAAATTTATCCTTCTTTTTTTATGTTTTATATAAAAAAAAACTGACCATTTTTTGTTTAAATGCATTTACATTGCAGGCACGTGCATTTACATTATCAAAATGTTATTTTAATGTCAAGTTTATTTAATGTGTGAAATCTTTTAATTTCTGTAAGTATTGTAAATCTAAGTGTACGTCAGTTAATATAGACCACATACCCGATATTTCCAACATACTGATAAATTTTTTTTTGGTCGAAATAATCACGTTAAATATATATATTATATAATATATATATTATATATATATTATATATATATATATATATATATATATATACAATTTATTGTGTTGGAATATCGGGTATGCGGTCTGTTATTTAAAAAAAACTCTTTTTTTCTTTTAATGCTCTATATTTTGCTGGTTTTTTGTCAGCTTCATCAGCAGACAAAGATTTAGAGTGGAAAATATTTAAAAAAGTTGTTGTACATAATATGTTCAAAACAGTACTGACAGTATTGGCACAGAATAATAAACAATCAGAATGCCCACTCTGATGCCGCCTTTGAAGTTTTTCAGCACGGCGCGCCATGTTTTAGAAAGAAACACATAACACAGACATATGATTTGTGATGTTATGTAATTGTTTATATTTATGTTTAATTATATTATATTTATGTTATTATATTTAACAATGTTAATATAATTGTATGTCTATGATGCCATAAGTCGATTAAAACCGGGTAATTTTCTATGTACACCACATAAACAACACTGATTCCCTCTAAAACATGGCGGAACGTCTGCACGAAGGAGATGCGCGTACTTAATTTTCCGTGGAGAGTGGGCATTCTGATTGTTTATTATTCTGTGGTATTGGTTCAATCAAAAAATACTGTCAGTACTGTTTTGAACATATTATGTACAACAACTTTTTAAAATATTTTCCACTCTAAATCTTTGTCTCCTGATGAAGCTAACAAAAATCAGCGAAATATAGAGCATTAAAAGAAAAAAGAGTTTTTGTTTTTAATAACAGACCGCATACCCGATACTCCAACAAAATAAATTGTTTTGCATATATATATATATATAATATATATATATATATGATATATATATATAATATATATATATATATATATATATATATATATATAATATATATATAAAGGAAGAATAGATCCACAGCTGTCTAATTATTAATTAGTATAATGGTAAGGTTAATTGGGTTAGCAGCTGAATAATAAAGCCAAAGTGTGCTCTTTTCAACGACTTCGGTATATTTCGTTAAATTTCTTTAACATCTTCAGACGAATGCTACAATATGTTACAAAATGGTGAAATTGTGTATTTTACATAAGATGTAGTGAAACACTTACTTGTGTGAGGTTGCAGGCAACAGTGGTATTTGAAAGTTCCATGTTGAAAAACTTTTTTGAAGATTTTTTTATAAAGCAAAAAAATATAAGTTGTATGTGTTATATGGTGGCTTGAAAACTCAAACAATACAAGTGCATTTTTGTTATTTTTTGTCCAGTGTGATAGTACAATACAAATATTAAAAAACATTGAACATTTAAGAAACAAAACAGTTAAAACACAACAATATCACATTGTCATTTTTTGGACCAGTCTATTCACCTATGCACAAGGAGGTGAAAATTTAGTGTGTACCTCAAGGTTAAAGTGTCTTGTCAGCTTATCATATTAGTAGATGTCAGCCAGAAAACTAAAGCTGTGTTCAGTTCATGTGTAAAGTTACATTTAATTGAAAATTATGTTATGTTAATTTAAAGACAATTAAATTCTGTTGTTAATAAATATATATAGAATATTATTTATTTTCTTTGTGATTATTTCTTTAAAGTTATTTTAATTGTTTTTATTACTCTTAAGAATTTTATTTCCTGGAAAAATGCAACAATTGCAATAATAATGATTAGGTTACTACTTCTATTGGATGGTCAGAAGAGTTTTAATAGACAATATTATACTACTCAGAATATTCCAGTTCGTTGACTTGATTATTTTTTGTTTCCAACTGTAGTAGAAAGGAATAAATTTCACTAAGGTGTTGTATATCTGATTTGGTGTTGATTATATTATCTGTTGTTGCTATGTGGGTCATTTCTAAAAAAAGTCTTCTCTTATAAAGCTGTTTCTTTTTCGAGGATTTTGACATCTGCAAAAATTCATTCTGTGGTTCTGGGTGTGAACGTGGTTGGCTAGGGTGCATTATCTGGGGTAAAGTCTACAGTCACTTTGTGAGTGGTAACACGGTCTTTAAGACGTCTAGAGGTTACCTTAGAGTAAGACGTCTTACGAAGTCGTTGAAAAGAGCACACTTTGGCTTTCATTATTCAGCTGCTAACCCAATTAACCTTACCATTATACTAATTATATATATATATATATATATATATGTGACAAAAAGATAAATAGATAGATAAAAATGTATGAATCTGTTCAGATTTTCTGTAATTTTTACGCGCATTTAAATAGATATTAATAATTAATAATAAATAGGTATAGAGACAACAAAATATAAATATAAATAAGAAAAATTAAGTGCATTGATAATATCTATAGCTTATAAAAATAAAAGAACAAATATTTTAGGGCAGAAGTTAATAAAAGCTAGCATGAAAAAATTGAAGAAATACATACCGCTCTTTGTTTGCATCATGTTACCAGTTGAAAATATTTATTTAAATAAATTATTTAATTTGGTGAGAAACTATTAAAATATGAAAATAACTGATTTTATCACTAATGAATTATTGATAATGGACTGGTTTTCTATTCTTGTTTACTGGACTAAGGTCAGTTGCTCTAGGAGCCAGGGTGGGCTTCAGTATGATTATGCACTTTTTTGTCCCTTGATACCTTGACGTTTCTTGTGTTTTTTGGTGCGTAGATTCGATTTTTCAAAGGTACCAGGCTAAAAACCCGTCGAATAATTTTTACTAACAATTTAATTGTTTAAATAATTGTATCTTCTAAACTATTAAAGATATTTATTTTCATTTGAAAAAATTAACAAAATGGCGTTTACATTTAATTAACATTAACATAATTTTAATTAACATTAATCTGATTATTAGAACCGGAGTTATAACAAATATCGTAAAAAAGTTAAAACTATTAAACATAAAAAATTTCACTAAAAAGTTGCGAATTACTTTGTTTATAAGAGTTTCAAACAAAATAGAGCTGCAAATATTGGCAGTTTGGTTAATGGAATTTATTCAAGTAACAGTTCAATTTAGGCTAGACTTCTTCTTCTTCAGCCTTCATTTATCCACAGTTATAGGCCTCCTCCAATTGCTTCCACGCTTCCCTATCTTTTGCAATTCTCATCCATTGCTTTCCAGCTACAGCTGTTATATCGTCTATCCACCTCTTTTTGGGTCTTCCCCCGCTTCTTTTTGTTTCTCGAGGTCTCCAGAATGTCACTTTGCCGTTGCCATCTCAATGTCGCTATTTTTCCCATGATGTCGGTTCTTCGACGTATTTCGGTGTTAAGAATTTTGTCTCTAGGCTTATATTTAACATGGCCCTCTCCATGGCCGTTGAGTTACTCTTAATTGTTCTGCCATTTTTCTTGTTATTGCTATAGTTTCCAATCCATAAGTTGCAACTGGTAGTATACAAGTGTCATAGGTTTTTCGTTTTAAGTGAATTGGGATTTTTCTGTCTTTTAAAATGAAGCTCAACTTACCAAAAGCAGCCCATGACAATTGTGTCCTCCTTTTAATTTACAGGGTTTGGTTTTCCTTTACGTTTTTAATTGCATGTCTATATATATATAATATATATATATATTATATATATATATATATAATATATATATATTTTTATGCTTTTCTATATTGAGTTATCATCGTTGTTTTCTAGGCTGTTGCTTATATCTTTGTTTTGTCAAGATTCATCTTTAATCCTATTTGATTCAATTTGTGATTTAAATCTTGTAGCATTGATTTTAGTTCATGTATATCTGTGCTTATTAGTACTATGTCGTCTGCGAAACGCAAATGGTTAAGATATACTCCATTTATTTTTAATCCCTTTTCGGCCCAATTTAGTTTTTTGAAAACATTTTCTAATTAAAAAGTAAATAACTTGGTGAGATGGTGTGCCCTGTCTCACACCTTTGCCAAGGTCTATTTTCATAGTATCCAGATCATCATCTATTTTTACGTGAAAAGTAGCATCATCGTATATATTCTTAAGGAGGGCAGCATATCTTGTATCTACTCTGGCGTCGTCCAATGCTGTTAAGAAAGCCCATTTCTCGATACTGTCGAATGCTTTGTGATAATCGACAAATGCCAGATGTAGTGGTATGTTGTACTCTATTGTTTTTTTTTTCAGGCTAGACTATGGAATACAAAATTATCATATAATATGTAAAGTTTGTTTAGCAGTAAATGGTTGACTGCAATTAGTACCGAATATAAATATCCTAGGTTAACCGATAATAGTATAAAAGGCCCGGTTTCAGGTAACAATGGTTTAGCTGAGGTACAAGGTCTTAACAATGGGCCAAGTCAGATAAATTTAATATTATTTACGATCGCACTAACTTGATGTAACTAATCTGCTAAACAATCTTTATCTACAGGCAACAACCACTGTAAAATATCATACGAATAGTAATCGGATAAATCTAAAGCGGGGGGGTCAGACAATGCTTTTAATAATTTGGATTAGCTGACAAAGAAAATCTTCTTCTTAGGGTGCCTGTCCGTTCCGAACGCTGGCGGTCATACTGGCTATGATGACTTTGTTGGTTGCTATACGCAATAGCTGTGTTAAGGTCCTTTTCCTTAAATTTTACCTTGCAAAATGCATTGAAGTAGCTCTTATCTGCCTTAATTTCTCATTATATGTCCTAAGTACTGAAGCTTATGGCCCTTCACGATGTTGACCAAATCAGCAGTTGTGTACTTATTCATTGATGACTTTGTCTGTCCATGGTATCTTCAGGATCTTTCTGCATAGCCACAGCTCAAAAGCCTGAAGTTTTGATAGAGTTTCCGCCTTCAATGTCCACGTTTCTACTTTGTACAGAAGCACTAAGTACACATAACATTTAAGGAGCCTTATTTTTGTTTCTAGGGTGAGGTCATGGCTCTTGAACACAGAGCTTATAGTCAAGAATGCACTTTTTGCCTTTCCGATGCGACATTTAATCTCTTGAGTATTGTCTCACGACCCATTAATTACAGTTCCCAAGTAGTTGTATTGTGAGACACGTTCAATTCTCATTTGGTTCACATACAGATTTGCTCCAGTTATGTTTTCCTTGCTGATGATCATTAGCTTGGTTTTTGATGATGTTATATCCAGTCCATATTTTCTACTTGTTTCCGTATTTTGTTCATTAAGTTTTGCAGCCCTACTATGGTATTGGAAAATACTACTGTATAATCTGCATACCGCAGGTTATTGAACTTGACTTTATTTATTTAGATGCCTTCATCAATATCTTTTAGAGCCTCTTCGACTCTAATGTGCTCCGAGTACAGATTAAATATCAGTGGTAAAATTATGCAACCTTGTCTCACTCCTCTTAAGATTTTGACCTGGTCTGTATATTCTCCATCTATTCGGAACACCACTGATTGATTCCAATACAGGTTCATCATCATCATAAGTGGCTTGACAATCCGTTGTAGATCTTGGCCTGCTCACAAAGAAGTCGCCACTCCTGTCGATTCCTGGCAACTTCCCTCCATCTTCCAACCCTTAGAATCTGTAGATCTTCTTCAACATCATCAATCCATCTTATTCGTGGTCGTCCTCTGCTTTTTGTGCCCTCTAGGTTTGAAAATGTTCACCACCACCTACACGATGAGCTGACGATTTCAGAAGACAAAATAAAACCTGGATGAAAGTGGCATCAGATATACGATGTTGGAAACACGAGAGGAAGAGGCCTATCTGCAGCAGTGGATTTTTAAGGCTGGATAATGATTGAATAATTCAATACGAATATTTTAAGCTTTGATAAATGTTTTTATGTCAATCTTTGCCGGGATATTAACTAACTGATCTTGCCCTTCAGAGCCTGTTATTAAAAGTTCCATACCTTGGTGAAAAATTAACATGGAAACAATTACCAAAGCTTAAAATGTTGAGTTTGAGTTGTTCTATAAGTTCTATGAGCCAGAATTTTAAAGTGTATAGCTTAATTTTGTTTAGATTTATTATAACCAAATGAATTAGCAACTTTTTAGTAAATTTTTAATGTTTAATTATTATAACTTTGTTAATATTAAAGATAAAGTAATTTCGGAAAGTTCTTTTTAGCTTAAGATGAGAGGTTTTGAGGTTCTGAAAGTTAATAGGACGTATGAAAGCTGAGTTATACTTGGGAAATTCCATCAAATGCCTATTTTGCAATTGTTTTTCACGAGATTAGTTATAACTCCTGTTCTAACATTTAAAAAAAGATAATTTTCATTTTGGTAAATTTAAATATGTCTCTAAAAAGGTAAAATATAATAGAATCGATGAAAAAGTTTATAGATATGAAATTTTATTTTAATACGTACAGTCTAGAAGACATTGCTGATTGTGACAAAACTTTTAATTGTAGAGAACGCAGCTAGCAAACATTATGTGATTTTAGCTTCGCGCTGTAGACTAGCGCGAAGCTTTATATTAATCAATAAAATGGCTGTTCTTACTATTCTCTTTACAATTTGGAAGTGTGGAAACGGTCTATTATCTCACGACATAATTATTTTCAGAGTTAAAGTATTCAAAATATATAGATTGTTCAGAAACTTGTTTGGTTAAAATAAATTGAATTATAATCTTTGAAACTATATTTTTATGTTTCTAGCTTTTCTAAAATATCTTTAGTCTTTCTAAGGTTAATTTGTATTAAGGTTATTGGTAAAAAATTGGAAATTTTATTTTGAAAAATAATAATAGAAGGAATCACTTTTGGACAATTTATGTGAGCAAAGTGACTTTTACTAATTTTTTCTGTTTGGAAGACTTTATTCTTGATTTTCACGGTACATTCGGGAACTGATTCTAAAACGTAGCTTCCTTGTATTGGTAAATTTTCTTTTGAGTTTGGGCACTCGATAATTGCTAATTCTTCTTCTGGAACTGTTACTATCAATTTTCCGTCGCTGATTCGTGTAGATTCTATCTTATTTATCTTTACTTTGAAATGTTCACATGACAATGCCTTTTTCTTGAAATTTATTAATTGTACTGCACAAGGGGCTTCTTTAGTTATCGTTAGTTTATTACTTTCTTTACATATGTACTCTTCTGAGTTTATTTCTGTGCATATATCTTCCATGTAGATATAGCTTAATTTTTATATAAAGTTGCGTTATATAAAGGTTTATATAAAGTTGCGAAACTGCACCACTGGGGTATTAAAATCCAAAGCGAACAGAATAAAATGAGGCTTCTCTGTGAGTCGGTCTATAAGACTGTCGAGAACAGCAAACTACAGAACACCTGGTTTGTCCTTTATCCCCAACTACAATCTTAATAGAGGACCTAGTTTACTCTGTACCAAATGTGCATAATGTCGCCAATTTTTGGCCAACAAATGTGAGCAGTTCTGTTTTTATTTTTGTCTTGCCTGAATATTACATATACACTTTTATCTTTTGTAATGTGCTGTTGATATTGTAAATGTATGATACTTCTGACACTAACAAATAAATAAACAACTTTTTAATAGTATAAATGCCACTCTTTAAAATCTACGAAATTGCATTCGGATTTCTACAAGTTTGACTAAATATTTATAGCTTTTTTTTTTAATTTTAGTAAAAATTGTGTGTTACTACTTTTCCGAGGCATACGATAGATCTGATAATGGTTCTTATGACATTTCTAATATTGATCCAATGCTGTGCACTCATTTAATTTATAAATATGTCGATCTGACAACTCTTGGAGAAATTGTGCTACGTGATGACCGAATTGATAAATGTAAGTTATTTAATTTACTTTTCTTGGTATTAGCAGTTAAGAATTACTTTATATTATCACAAAATACATCATCCAACAAGAAGCGAAACGAAGAGCTTTGTTGCAATTCAATTTTCTGCGACAATCCGCCATGTTCTAAACAGTTCATCTGTCAACCTATAAAAACTGAAGTTTAGTTCATCAGAACATCACAGGTACCGACAAAGCTTTCGCTTCTTGTTAAGTGAAATATTCTGTGATATTATTAAGCAATGTTAAACAGGATTTTTTACCAACTAAGGCGCCATCTGTAAACATTGCACAAAAATGTTACAAATCTGAGATGAAGATTACTAAGTAGTTTACAATTTTATGTAATTTATTATATATTTTTTAGACTAATGTATCAGCCTCACGCATAAATTGTATTATTTATAATTCAATTTTTAAGGTACGGTGTCTATATTATTGTTTAATGTAAATTTATCCCACACTAGTCATGAAAAGACATTTACAACAACTTTTTTCTCATATGTACATAAATTTTGATTCTATTTTAAAAAGTGACATACCGTTCTATTACCTGATTAGTCTGCAATTAAATTAGCTTAATTAGTGTACTATGATTATTTTATTATAAAATACACAAAGAAAAGTTAAGAGTGCACTGATTTAATAGAAATTTTTAACATAAAAGTCGATATAAGATAAACCGACATAATAACGGCCCAGTTAAGGAATATTTGACTATAGACGTAAATCTTTGTTCTTTCTTCTTTATAAAGGGGAGTCTGGAATCTTCAAATGACATCTCAGTCCAGGATGTCGCCTGACTAATCTTAGTGCAGGATTCGTTCTTCGTACTCCCGGCGATAGTTCTCGAGGTTCTTTAAAATATCCCTTTGTCGCCGAGTCTACGCCGAACGCCTACCTGCTAAACCAGACCCTACTTTGTCATCCAGCGATCCAGAAGCGGAATTGGTCTACGCCGAACGCCTACCTGCTAAACCAGACCCCACTTTGTCATCCAGCGATCCAGAAGCGGAATTGCCGCTGTAAGGCCGGCATCCTTCCAAAGCACTACCTTTATTCATTCATTTTCCATTCATGCACATCCACACTCTATTCATCAGCAAGGAGGCTCTCTGTCTCGTTCCAGGTAGCGCGTAGAAGACCCTCATCGCTCCTAGTTTGACTCACGCATTCCAGCTTCAACTTTCAGCATCTTTCACTTTTACCCTTGCCATTGGTCTAGCTGTCTTTCTTCCTATTCCTTTTTCTTGATCACTTCACGGATATAGTTGTGTACGTTAGTACAGCCTGATTTATTTTTAATTATTCTCTTAATAATTTCTCTCACTGTAACAAAATTCACACCTATCACACCTATCTCTCTCTCCATTCATCTGTTTCAGCCTTTTCGATCCTAAAGAGGTAGGCCCTAAAACACCCGTGTTCTGTGAGCATCTGCGTCAGGAAATAATCCAGTCGTCTGTGGCCACAGTCCACCCAATCTCTTATGCTTGGGATGAGCATTTTCGTCCACTGTGCCACATCCTCCGTGTCGTTCCATTCTTCTTGCCATCTTTCAATTGACCTTTCGCTTTCCTGTTTTCTTTTGGTCACGGTAAGGTTTGGGTCTCTTCTCTCATAGAGCTCTTTTCTTTCCACCGCCAAAACATGCAATGGAATACATCCAGTGATGGTCCATAAGGCTGCAGTCCTGTAGGCGCATGCCACCCGCCAGAACAGACTTGTTCTGTCCACTCGTGTCATGAGCCTTCTATGGGCCGTTGTCTCTACCTCCTCCTTCCAGACTAGTGCCGCGTAGAGGAACGATCGACTTTATAACATTGTGTAAGACCCTCCTCCATTCAGGTTTGGGTCCTCCAATATTGGGCATCATCCTCCATACGCATGGAACTTCTTCATGACGATCTTGTATCCCTGACCCCAGATCTCCTCATAAAGCTTTCCACACTGCTCTTTCAATGCAGCGGTATTTTTCCGACTATCTCGGTATTTTACTCTTCCTCGATCTTCTCGATGACCTCAGGGTTGATCCCTGCTCTGCCTCTTGCTCTCATTAACCTTATTCTCATTGCTATACATTAATTTCTTATCTTGCTTATTTAATCTTGCTTCCTTCCATCGCTTCTTTAATGACTCTCCAAAGCCTCCATCTTGACGTAAATCTAAGGAAACGAAATAGTAGAGAAAATGGATTTAAAGTATATTTGATGGCTTAAAGGTTTTCTTTATCAAAATGATGAATAAAAAAATGAAAACTGTTTTTTATTCGACAAAAAAAAATCGTTTTCACTAAAATGCAAAAAACTTTAACTCCGGCCAATGCTAAAAAAATAGTGGTAATTCCAGCCTTTTGAACATGAAAAAACAACAAAAAATACTGTCATTAGTTACTTAGCGACAGTATTTTTTTCAATTATTGCATAAGAGCAAAAAACTATGAAGGACCTACAAATTCTTTATTTCAGGTACAGACAAAGATCTCTTTTATTAATGCACTGAGGCAGTGCAATTTAACAAACAATTTCCTCTGGATCATACCAAATAATATAATCTGTGTCTGGCCATCTTCAATAATATCCAATTTTTTTCGTAGCTTTGATTTAAATTTATCTTCAGTTATTTATTCTACCATACCTGAAAAATGTTTCTCCTCGTAAACTACAATGACGTAGTCACCTAGTTCGTAGTCGCCCACTAAATTCATAGAAATTTTAAACAAAACATGCTTGCTTAAAATTTAATTTTTTTTATTTGCTCCATCTATTTCTCCTCTCTGCTTTTCTTTCATCCTTTTAAACATTCTCAATGCTTAGGTTTAATTTGATAACTTTCAAAATTTATTTTTTCTGTTCTGCCATCAGATTCTGCATTTTTCTTCGTGATGTTGTTGCTTTTCTTTTCTTTCTCTTCAAGCTTTTGTTTTTTCCTTGCTTCCTTTTTATTTTATTTTTCAGGTTCTACTCTTCCCGGTACTTTATAAAATCATTAGCAACCGTTACTACAGGTGTTTTTTTTGTAGCCTTTCTTTTGGACGTTTGGGATATCTTTCTGGGAAATAAAATGCATTTTTAAATGGCGTAGGAAATTTTGGAAGAATGACAAAATAGGACTCAGCAGAATTTATGGGAGATTCATTTTCAAAATAGGTTCAGAAATTATAAACTACTTTGCACCATATAGTTTTGACAGGTCAGAATATAGCAACATCAAGCGGCTGCATGGTTTTTATGTAATTTGGAAATAGTGCTACCAAAAAAATTCCATTTTCACCACAAAATTCGCTCAATGCCAGAAATATATGGCTAACATGTTCGTCCATCGTAATATATGAGCGAGGATGATGGATGTAAATATACATGAGAATGAGAGAGAAATATCGATAGTAGAGTGGCAGACAGAATGAGCGAATGATATTGGAACAGGCAAGGTGGACGAAGGAGCTTATTCCCGATCTGAGACCGTGGTGGGAATGTATGTTTAGGAAACTAGACTACTTCCTGACGCAGTTTCTGACCGGACATGGTAGTAGCTCCTCCAAAAAAAGCATCTCCTCGGCAACTGTATGTTTGGCGGTACCTGATGCTCCCGCCCACATTTTTAACTGCCAGAGATGGAGAAGAAGGAGAAATAGACTCTGTAAAGGGTATTGCCGTAAGATATAAGAATTGAATTTTGTACAGGAATACTAATCTTTGGTGCAACAAATACTTGACACCCAAAGCTTAATATATGAATATATTCGGATTCAGGAAAGCCAAATTCCAGGAAAGTTATTTTGGAAACTATAATAAGCTCAATTTCATAATGTTTGGAATGCTGGGGCACACATTTGATATCACTAGTCGACTAGAAGGAGAAATTAATCTTCTAATTCTTGTAGCATTTTCTTATATTAAAATGGATTTGTGATTCTAAAGTAAATTTTCTGTGATTGTAAGTGTTATTATGGTAAATGACTATACCCGGTAATGCAAGATGATAATTTTTTTGGTGTGTACTAAAATTCCTTATGTTGTTATTTTCTGGATCTTAAATATATCTGGTACTGATGATAAAATAATTGCATTGTTCTCTAGATGGTAAATGGAAATTTCTTACGGCATTGGAGTAGGTCAATGTTAATATCAATGTTAATTTTTTGGTGACTGCTGTGTTAGTCTCTAATGTGCTATCCATTTTTAATTTTTATTTTTTCTCAATGGCAAGTTTTAGAGTAAGAACCGCTAGTGATTTTTGACAATTAGTTTGATTTATCAGCTTTTTACAAAAATGAAAATTGATCCTTTGTTTATTTCATTGCAATATATTTCAAATGGTTTATATGGATCGAATAAAAACTGTACTTACAATTTTTCTTCTATCTAGTTAGAAAATTTTGTTAATTTCACTGTTAGTAATAAATCTTTTTTTAATAGTTTGCATAAACAAACAAAAAAAACTTATTTTTTGGAGTTAAAGTTATCAAAGTTCTCTCAATAAAATATTTTAACAGTCTTTTCTGATATTATTTTTAGTTTGCTTCAATTTGTCCAATTTTAATTCATGCTTTAAGTTTGTTTTAAGATATCTATTTATATTCTGATTTATTTTTTGTTTACCGATTAGTTGCTTTCCTATTTGATCAGAAATCTAGATATCCCATTAAAAAGAAACGAATAAGTGTACGAAATTGTTTCTGATATAATCTAAGATATTATTATTAATAAGCTGTTACTGATTATTTTTACTGATAATATATATTTTGTAGTCAACATGAATTATTTTAACGGCCTTAAAGTTAAAAATCCTAAACTTAAAACTCTTGTCGCAATTGGAGGATATAACGCAGGTGTAACAACATTTTCAATTGTTGCCGAATCGAAATCCATTAGATCTAAATTTGTACGAAATGCTTTAAAATTCGTCCAGATAAATAACTTTGATGGGATAGATTTTGTCTGGGAATATCCTACCCAACGTGGGGGTAAACCAGAGGACAAGGTAAGATATCCGTGAAATACTTTTATTCTTTTTAAACTCCTCGCGCAGATTAACGTTAGATCTTTGTTTAAGTTTTAATTTACAACATTTTGTGCCATCCGATTGACAGCGATGTCCGTATACGAAGCCCAACTCCTAAGGTGACAAGAATGTCTTCCCAGAACATGCCAGACTTCCGTAGTATTCGCCAAAGACTACAACGTCCAGAAGATCAACATGAACCTTCGGCTCATAACGATTTCTGACTCACAGCCTATTATCATCAAATGCGAGTTTAGAGACGTTAAGTCGGAGATCACTCACACAAACCATGTGCTCAGTCAGTCCAAATACCATTCAATTGCTGCAATCACTTCCCAGATAAAATCCATCTTTCTGACTTAAAATTGCTAGTTTAGCAAGATCAATACTGAAGAACTTGAGATAACTTGTGACAAACTCAATCAGTATTCTAAAGAACCCGACAAGGTAATCAATGAACCATTCGTTATTAAATCTCTGAGCTGATTCATGGTCTTAACAATAGTCATCAATTTAACTCTTGTTGTTCTTTACTCATGTAAATGCAAATCCAAGAGAAGATTTAAGATAGCAGTTGGCAATACCAATGACAATGACCATTCGTACTCTCCATTAAGATCCAGAGACCGCCTTCGCCAGGAGATCCAACTGAATACCAACAAACAGATAGAATAAAAGTTGCCCATGCACCATATTTTATATATAACATATTTTATATTACTAAATATATATGTATATACTACTACTACTATCAGTTTTACAGCGTTCTTCGACGCCTTCCGACTCCTATCTGCTATTCTTCTCTATTTAACCATAGACTTGGAGGGATTTCTCTTTCCTCTAGTTCTTTTTCAATTCCCTCTCCAGCTTCTTCTCCGGCCTTCCTCTTTTTTCCTTCTCCCTTGTGGTGTCCACGTCAAAATCTGTTTCGGAATCCCGTCATCTGGCATTCTCTGTACATGGCCGTATCATATTAACTGTTTTGTTTTAGATCATCAACTATTGTATTCTTGACTTCCATCATTTCTCGTATTCTCTCATTTGGTATCCGATCTCTTCTTGATTTGCTTACTGCTCTTCTCCGGAAGTCCATTTCTGTTGCTAGTACCAGTTTTTCTGTTCTTTGTTTCATTGGCCAAACTTCACTGCCATATGTGGTTACACTTTTAAGTATGGTGTTGTATATGAGTTGTTTGTTCTCTTTAGATATTGTTTGGTCCCACAGAATGCCGTTCATCGTGGATGTAGCTTTTCTACCCTCTATGTTTCTGTCTTTTATAGTAGCATCGAGTATTCCATCTTGAGTTATCTTATACCCAGGTACTTGTATTCATCACAGTGTCTAATTTCTACCCCATCGTCTAATCTAATGGACTGCTTTGTCCCTCCGATACACATGGCTTCAGTTTTCTTAATGTTGACTTCGAGACCCCATTTGTTATATAAGGTGTACAGTGTAGTCTCGTCATTGAGAGGGATTCCCATGCCATTACATTTTCTTTTCCACAGCTTGAGTGCTTGTTCCAGATAAATTTTAAAAAGGGTAGGCGAAATACAGCAGCCCTGCTTTAGTCCTTTCGTGACCTTAAATCCCTCAGATATCCTTGATCCAGTTTTAATTTTGCAGTCGTTCCATTATACAGACTTTGGACTGCTTTGATAAGACCATGCTTAATGTTGGTTTGCTGTAGGGTTAACGATAGTTTATTAAGGGGTACACTGTCATATGCTTTTTGTAAGTCTACGTACACCAGGTGAACTTCTTTATTGAAGGCTGTTTTTTTCTTAATAACTTGCGTAATAGAGTACAAGTATTCTACTGTGGATCGCCCAGCTCTAAAACTAGCTTGCTCCTCTGCTTCGTAATTGTAGTCATTTTTTATTTTGTTCTTAATAAATTTCCATACATCCTACCTATTGTGCTGTTTACCGCAATTCTTCTGTAATTTTCACACTGATCTTTGCTGCCCTTATTGTGGATAGTTCACATGATAGATAATTTCCATTCTTTTCGTAATTCGACCCCATTCAAACAGTCTTAAAACAGTTTTCTAACTGTTCCTGGAGTTTGTCTGTACCGGCTTTCACTAATTCTGCAGGGATGTCACCAGGACCAGGGGATTTTCCATTTTTCTGGAATTTGGTTATTTCTTCTATCTCTGATTTACTTATTTGTAATGGTGATGAATTTATACGTAGGTATACCTATCGTGTTGTCTTCTATGTTAGTAAATTCTGGTTTTTGTTCCGTTAGTAATTTTTTAAAACATTCTTCCCATTTTTTTGGTTGTTATTGATGATATAACGTACGTATGTGTACGTCGACAAGGTTGTCTATCGTCCACTGATTTTCTGTGTTTTTGTGCAGATAATAACAATGTTTTATTAATAAAAATTTTTTTGTGTTCATTAGATATTATTTGAATTGGTTAGTGTATAGTTTAATATATTTATTATTCCAAATATTGTTGATAATTTAAAATTTAAAAGGATGTATATGATACATCAAAATCTACAGATTTTTGCCGAAGGTATCTACCGATTTAGCAACAGTCCCAAGGAACATCACTGGCCGAGCAAAACAAATACATGCCCTTTGCTTTGCTTCTCATTATAAACGCCATAAGCTGAAATAAAAGTAGTGTTTCTAACCATAAACCATGTATACAAACAAAGAAAAAGTACAAATTTTAAAATGGTATTTTGGGGGCAACTCGTACCGTGATATTATAAATTTATTTACTTGTGCCTATGAAGATAGGCCAATACCGACACAATCAACTATTAGTCGTATTATTAAAAAATTTGAATCGTTTGGTTGTGTAAAAACTGTCAAAAATGTACGGATCTACCACGAGAGAAAATAATCAACGAAGTTAGGCAAAATAGGGAAATTGATGTCTGTAGTGTTGCTGAAACTAGTGATCCTTGTTCAAGCAAAACTATTGCTGAAGAAGTTGACATGAATGATAGGACTGTCAGGAATATTTTGAAACGGAATGGTTATCGTTGTTTTAAGGTTTCAACAACATTTCAACAAGAGTATTAGCCGAGGACAATTTCAAGCGTATGGAATTTTATGAACTGATGATGAATAAACAAAATGAAAGTGAACATTTTTTAAAAAACATGTTGTTTACCGATGAATCGACATTTTCGTTACATCGGAAACATAATACTTCTATCGTACGATATTGGTCTTGGCATAATAAACACTTGAGTATTCCAGTACGAACACAGTATCACCAAAAACTTAATGTTTGGACAGGTATTTTGGGGGATTATATCGTCGGTCCATTTTTTATTGATGGTAATTTAACGGGAAATAAATATTTACAATTGTTGCAAAATCCAATTATTCCAGCAGTTCAATTACTTCCTGTCAACTTTGACGATATTTGGTTTCAGCAAGACGGCTGTCCTGCTCACAATACACGAGCAGTTCAAAATTATTTAGCAACCATTTTTGGAAATAAATTATTTTCTTCTCGTGGTACGATCAAGTGGCCTCCTAGATCACCAGACTTATCCCCAAAGGATTTTTTTTTGGGGATATTTAAAAACAAGTGTTTATCGAATGGTTTTAAAAGAGCCCGAAATTTAGCGGAATTGAGGAAAAAAATAATTCATCTTTGTGAAAGCGTTAGACCGGAACTGCTCAGGGATATGAGACTATTTGTGTACAACAGATTTGGTTATTGCTCCGCAGAGAGAGGTGGAATATTTTGAACCTCTATTACGTTGAATTTTTGTTTTTAATATTATTATGTTACTTTTGGAATTCGTTTTTATTTTAATTTTTAGAAATCTACTTTTTTAATGCATTATGGCAATAAAATATAACAATTTCTTTTAATAAAATAATATTTTAATTCCATATCTACGTAATTATTGTAGATTTTTGGCGCTTTGAGATATAGCCTCTCCTGTATTCCGTTTTATACTAGCGGCTTGGCGAGATGCAAGATTTTATTATTCGATGATCGTTTGTGTTTGGTAAGGTGCGCACGTGTGCAGCAGTTGAAAAATATCGACTGGAGAAGGAGTCCAGTCGAACAAATGAATTAATATATAAGACATCGCGACGTTATATTGAAATTTACACTGGGTAATTGCAGGTCAGGGGATCTTACTAATTGTATTAATAATCCGTATGTTCCGTTTTAAAATCTTCCAATACTGTATTTATATATATATATATATATTATATATATATATATATATATATTATATATATATATATATATCAAATCTATAACGTTTTAGAAAAATTTCATAGAATTACTTAAAGAAACGAAGACAGTTTTTGCAACGCATGGTCTATTAGTCAGTACTGTAGTATCAGCATTAGCCTCTGTTGTTGAACAAGCTTACAATGTTCCATATCTGAATAAGTAAGTATGTTATTATTAAATATTTAAGGATTTAAAACTAGCCAAAGTTTATGAATAAGTGTAGGCTCTTCCTGTTGATGATTTTTAAATTTACATTGTTATCGAGGTTGATTCGCCGTGTTACAGATTTATTTATTTCTGACGTTTCTTCTGTTGCTGCAATGCAGATCAAACTCCAGGTAAAAATTACAGAACACGGCTAATAAATTTCGATACTAAAAGCTTCACTCATGTGATGAGCGCAAGCGCAGCCGCCATTTTTTTGGACTGTTTTGATCAACAATTCAGAGGTTGGTCTTCAATCATCATTACTACTTGACAGATTTATTTTTCTTTGTGATTCCATTACTTTGCAGTTGCTACTTAAAGACCGTTCCGTAAATCTAATTAAAATTTCTCCTACATAACTGTCAGCAACAATGGAATCTATTACCTACCAATTAAATACCATTTAAAGGGTTTTCACCAATAATATATTTAGTCGTTGTAAACACGTTTACCAAATAGCAGCACTGAATATGTACTAATCAGTCCGAAAACATTAAATATTATATCTTTTAAGGATTTTTTTAATTAAAAATTTTGTGATCCATGGTATACAGTCAACTACAGAAAAATAACTTATAGATCACAATAATAATCGATTAAAAAAATTTATTTCCTTAGTGATGCACTTTATTTTCGTATATTTTTTTCAATAACTATCCTTTTTTAGTACTTTTTATCTTCATTATGTGTTCACAAATACCTTATTGTTGTGTTATTAACCTAACCTAAAGAAAAAATGGCAAATGCGCAAAAAGCACAAAAAAAATGTGATGAAAAGGTCTATGTACCTCGAAAAAAATTCGGTTATAAATTATTGATACTTTTTCAATAGTATTGAAAATTATTTTTATATCTTGGATTTCTTATTTAACGATTTTTTTTTAGATATGTTGATTTTATTAATGTCAGGACATTTGATTTTCATAACTATACTGAAGGAGTGGTGGACCATCACGCTCCCTTATACCCAAGAATTGATACACCTTCTCGGTATGAGAGCGTTCAATTTTGTGTCGTAAGTATTCTTTTTCAAACACTGACTAAATTGGCGGGTCCAAAAATATTGCATGTGCAAAATCATAAATTTTCAAAACTCAAATCTGAGGGATGAAAATGGAAATATCGCAAGAAAGTATTTAGGTATTATCGCAGGTTATTAAAATTCTCTACGTAATCTGAAAACTCGTAACAAAGTATAAAAATGTCAGCATTGTCAGCATGATCAGATTTGACTCTCATATAGGGGAAATAAAAAATTTAGGTTTGTAATGAAGAATAAAATATGTTCAAATTCAAATGGAGAACGAATGTTCACATTTAACGCGAATATACGGCTATTTGAACGATCTAGACGAACAAAATCATTTTTATATTTTATTGTATTTTAAAAAATGTTACTATTATAATCCAAATGAATAGTATACTATAATAAAAAATATATTTATTGACAAAAAATACCTATTTTCACATCTTCATCACTCTTATTATTATCCCAGATTTAGCCATACGGCTCACACTCCCTCTAAGGGGAAAATTCACTCATCCCAGATACCTACGGTATCAAAAGGATTGAGCTCTGGTGGGACTCTTTCCGTGTTATCGAGCCCTAGGTGACTTGGTATGTCGGAGTATCTCCCAGAAATTTTCGTACACATCTGGAGGTCGCGAGGAGTACAGCTTTCTGCATGGCCTTATAAAGATGTTCATTTAGACCCAGCTGTTTTATGTTTACTAGGAGGTTTTTGGGAATAACACCAGTAGTTAGATAGAACAATAGGTACTGTCTGGGTACTTTCCATTCTCCATTGTCTCTTGATTTGTATTTCCAGATCTCTATACTTGGCGATCTTTTCGTTGTATTTAACAAGCAAATTGTTAGTGTTAGGTATCGCCACATCAATAAGTGTTGTTTGCCTGGTAATTTTATTCACTAGTATGAGATCCGGTCTATTATGGGCCACTGGTTGGTCTGTGAGCACAGTGCGGTCCCAGTATAGCTTGTAGTTGTCATTTTCAAGCATTCTGTCAGGGACATATTGATAATAAGGAAGATGGTCGGTTTGGAGAAGTCCCAGTTTGTCAGCTAGTTCTTGGTGGATAATCTTTCCTACTGAGTCATGGCGTTCTTTATAATCAGTGCCGACAAATGCCTGGCAGCCACCGGTAAGATGTTGGATGGTTTCTTGGGCTTGGCATCCATATCGGCATTTGTCGTTTTGGACTTGAGGATCTTTAACAATATATTTCAGGTAATTTTTAGTTGGAATAACCTGATCCTGAATGGCAAGTAGGAAACCCTCAGTCTCGGGAAACATCTTTCCTGATGTCAACCAATAGTTCGACGCTGTATTGTCGACATATTCTTGGTTGATCTCATTGAGATGTCGCCCATGCAGAGGTTTACTCATCCAGGTGCGCATTTTTTCTTGCTTAGTCAGATGGTTTGTGCGCATTTCTTGTTCCCTCAGTTTAAGCGGCGTTGTGTCATCTACTGCGCAAATTGCTCGATGTAAAGTAGATGTCTCAGCCTGTACCTGAAAATAAGATCTTAAATTAGCAATTGTTTATCTAATTGCTCACCTATATCCATAAGTCCTCTTCCTCCTTGATACCGCGGTAATGTTGTTCTCTCTACTGCACTGCGTGGATGATGTTTTTGCGCCTTTGTGAGAAGTGTTCTTACTTTCCGCTGAAGACCCTCTATATCCGTTTTTGACCACTTTATAATACCAAATGAGTAGCTCAGCGCGGAACAGGCGTACGTATTTAATGCCTTAAACAAATTTTTACTATTAAGATATGACCGATTTAGTTGTCTTATTCTTCGCACGAACTCCGAAGTTAGTTCAGTTTTCATCTGTTTATGGTCAATTTTCCGCGCCTGTTTTACTCCGAGATATTTGTAAATATCATTTTCACCCATTGCCTCGATGTTTTGGCCATCTTGCATATCGAAACCTCCGGGCTGAACCTTTCCTCTGACTATATTAAGTATACGGCACTTGTCTAGTCCAAAGTGCATACTGATATCATTTGAGAAAGTTTCTACAGTTTTTAGCATCTGATCTAAGTGATTTCGAGTGGAAGCCATTAGTTTCAAATCATCCATATACAACAGATGATTAAGCTTCGCCACAACAGTGTTGTTATTTTTGATGCTAAATCCTGAGTCAGTGGAGTTCAGCAGCTGAGATAGTGGGTTCATCGCTAGGCAGAACCAAAGTGGACTCAACGAGTCCCCCTGGAAAAGGCCCCGGTTAATAGCGATATCTTCAGTTTCGATATTGGTTTCACCAGGTATTTGAAGGTGAATTTTAGTCTTCCACTTTGTCATTATATGCTTCAAAAAGGTCACGAGATTATCATCGACTTTATATATTTTTAATATATCTATAAGCCATTCATGCGGCACTGAGTCAAAAGCCTTCTTGTAGTCAATGAAGGCAGTAAACAGGTTTCGTTTTTTGGTGTATGCCTGGTTAGAAATGACTGAGTCGATAATAAGTTGTTCTTTGCATCCCATGGAGCCCTTAGCGCATCCTTTCTGTTGGGGCTCTATGATATTGTTCAGAGCACAGTGTTGGTAGATACGCCGGGCCACACAGGATGTGACCAATTTGTACAAAGTTGGAAGACAAGTAATTGGGCGGTACTTGGCTGGATCTTGGGTGTTATTTTGATCCTTCGGTATTAGATAAGTGGTTCCCTGAGTAAGAAATGATGGTATTTCTGCAAATTAGAAATAATATTGTTAATAAATACTGTTAAAAGTCATGAACACTCCAAAAACTTCTTTAACCAGAAGTTTTGAACTCCGTCTGGTCCAGGAGATTTCCAGTTATGAAGCTCTTTGATGATGTTCAAGACTTCTTCAGTGGTAAAAGGTTCATAAGGAATATTCCTATAGTGTTGACAATTGTTCTCCGTGTCTTCAATCCATCCAGCATTGTTGTTATGGGTAGCTGGCGTCGAAAGTTGATTTCCCCAAAACTCATGAATTTCTTCTTGGCTTGGGTAGGATTTATTTAAATTTTCTACAGTGGAATTTAGTTTTCTATAGAAAGCCTTCTCTGAATTCTCAAAAAGTATATTGTCGCATTTACGGTTGTTACTAACTTTGTATCTCCTTAAGCGACCTGAATAAACGGAGAGTTTTTGTTTTAATGTGTCTAGGCAGTGTTTGAGCTGTGTTGTTTTCTGGATCATGTTGTGAGTGTCTTGAAGTGTTCAGAATAATTTCTTCAGCTCTTTTAATTAGTTTTTGACTTCTTACTCCTCGGATGTATTCTGTAATTTGCCCAATATCCCTGCGCAAATAATTCAATTTTCCTCAGCAGTCTTTTTTCCCAGGGTGCAATTCTGTTTTTCAGTCCTTCCGATATTAGTTCCCCGTCGTGTTCTGATCTTAATGCCCATAACATTTAGCAATTGCTGTTGCTGCACAGTAAATCAGGCATATGCAAATATTCTAATGTATGTGCTTCCACGATATAATTGGGTAGGACTTCAGTGTTCATAATTTGTAACAGCGCACCTAGTTTCTTACAAGAGTTTATTTTTGGTAGCGGTGGTCGGCTAAGTGGGTTTGTACCATTAAACTCTTGTATGGCCCGTTCCATTTCTCTTACCAGTCTATTGTGCAACTCGTTGTTCTCCTGCTGGGTGTTAACAGGTTGAGTGTCTTGTATAAGGGGCTCAGGAATCTGCTCATTTGGGATTTCATTATGGTCTTGATCCACAACTAGCTCTTGGTTATGAATCTCCCGTTCGACTTCGCTTCTATATGGTAGCGCGTCTAGCCTCTGGGATAAGATTATTTCTTATAATTACCCGGTATTGATCTGCATTCGCTGTTCAGATACTTCAATCTCTGGATACTCCTGCAAAATTCGGCATACAGTTGTTGTCTATAGCCGATCGTTTCTCGACCGAGGTTCGTCACCTTGTAATAGAAGCGCAAAATGTTTTCATTTATAGACATAGTCCATTTTCATGCGCTGCCTCGGTCGTCCCGCTTGTGTGAGCGCCGGTGATGTTCCAGCGCAGCACCTTCAGCGAGTGGAGCTCTTGTTGTTGTTTGGCTCACATTGTGGTTGTTGTTGTTGTTGGGCTGTAGCTGATTGTATGACAGGGGCCCGCCTCCTCAACACCCTGCCACCGACTTTATTTTATTATTATAAACCCTGCCCCCTACCCTGCCACCGATTATTATTATTATTATTATTATTATTATGTGCAAATCAAGATAATAACCCAACTACTGTTTTGAACAGGAAACTACTTTCCTTTGTTTTTAATTTTCCTCCTATAACTCATTAAACGATCCGATCTCAAAAGTAGGCGATTGAAAATATCCCTGTTGCAGGTATAACATTGAGTTATGCATTGTAAAAAAATAATTGCTGAATATATTTCGATAGTCCTGAAAATTAACTACACTAGTAGCTTTTTTCGAGAAAATTTAGATAAAAAACAATCATATAAAATGTCCAGAGCGTTTAAAATGAATAATCAATAATTTCACACTGTTACACAATTTACCTACTGCACATCATCCTTATCCTTTATATTATTGCTATTATTGGCATCGCTATTACCGTCATTGCTGTCACTTTCATCGCTATCACTGTCAGCCATCACATTTATTCTCACAGGATCAATATCGTCCATCAACCTGACAATAACCCAACATTTTTTATCTTCCTTAATGGCAAGTTTTCAATAGTTTTTCCAGTTGTCCACTAATACTACACCAAGGATCACACCATACTACACCAAGGGCATTTCTTATTAATTGTTCTATTGCGGCAGTCTTAAACTCTGTGTTGTTTGAGGCCATATGTCTTTTAACATGACTCCATACCTTTTCAATTGGATACAACTCACAAAGGTATACAGGTAGTCCCAAAATGACAAACTTTATTTTTGCACATCTCGTCGATTTTATATTTTCTTTATTCTTCTTGGAGTGAATTTACGACTTCCATAAGTTTTGATTTTAATTAATCTTTTTCA